TAACTTTGGCATTGGTGAGAAACAGCCTGAGGCTGCAGGCTGCCTCTGTCACTCTGAGCTGTGCTGGGCAGCCTGGGCTGCCACCACAGGTCACAAGCTCATCAGTGACAGTGTGTCTGGGGTCTGCTCAGGGACTGCCTGTCCTGGGCATCACCCCAGCCCCAAACCACATCTGTCCCAACCTCAGTGGCAGGTGCTTCAGCCCTGGGGAAAGTAAATCACCAAGAGTGACTTGCTGTTTAACAGGACAGTAAAATTGCCCCTTCCCCCAGGCATGTGGCTCTGGTCTCCTCCTGCCTGTTGGTGCTGGAGCTTTTTGATCCTCCTCCCTGTCTGGAGCTGGTGGATCATTTTGGTTCACCTCCACAAAGTGTTTTGCCAGGACATGGATGTGCTGTGTGCAGCTGGCAAGGGGAAAACAGACCCTAAGCAACTTCTGCTGAATCACCAGTTTTCCTGGAAGCTTCTCACTGCTCCTGGGGGGATGGACACAGGAGCAGACCCCTGTCTGTGTGTCTGTCATATGATTGCCCAGAACAGAGGCAAAGATCTGCTCCTTGGACTGGGGGCTTGTGCAGCTGCAGTGACCTGTAGGCCCCCAGCCCCTAACAAATTCCTTAGAGCTGCTTATTAACACACTGTCAGCTCTGCTCCAGAGTCACGCCGAGGTAGAAGGCAGAAGGGTTTGACAGTGTGGCCTAAATATCCCTGTTTACAAAAGTCTGACAAAACACAAGCCCTTGGCTTTATCTTTCCCATTTGGAAAGAGTCACAGAGCAAATATACTCATGGCATGGAGGGAGGGGGATTTATATTGACTTTAGAAAATGCTGTTCTTTAAAAACAGGAAAAAAAGCTCATCCTCAAGCTGTGCAGACTGGCTGTGAGACCCAAAAGTCCTGTGTAGAGGCTTAAAGCCTGCCTGCTAATCTGTAGCAGTTCTGTGTGAGCAACTCAAGCAGTAAACTGCTCTCTGTTAATTTTTTAATGCAGAACAAACAGGTCAGGAAATGATTAGCATGAGAATAAGTTGAGCTTAATTGGGAGAATCAGAAAAGATGAGAGGGAAGAGGCAAATTGGAGTTATCAGTTAACCATACAGAGTGGCTCTGCCTCCACAAGCTCATGTTCCCTCTTGCTTTTCACCCCCTCTTTTTTTTCCCCCTTCCCTTATTTAAATCATGAGATAAAATTGCTGGTATAAGCACAATGGAAGTCCTTGTTTCACTTTCTCGGTTTCTATCTGTACTGCCTGGTCAAATGAATTGCAGGTGATAAAACTCCTACCTGGTTATTCCTGATGGTCCTTCCCAGAAAGGGAGCTGCTGACATTAAGTGAAAAATCCTCTTTGTGCAAGTACCAGTGCTGTGCTCCAGTGCAAAATTTCAGCACAATCCTGGCAGATCCAAGGACTGAGCAGAGGCATCTGTGGGCAAGGGGAAGAGCAGTCCTCGGGACTGCTTGGACTGGAGTTTGGTCAGTGGTCGGAGATCTATATTCTCAGATAGGCAGGACTTTGTCCACAAACTGGAATTTGAAATTTCAAAGGGGAAAAAAAAAAAGGCAGAAGGGACCTTTGCATGTGTGGAGATGACTCTGCTGGTGACGTTCCCCCAGGACTTTTGTTCTTTGTCTTGTAACTGGGCTTCCTGCTTCCCCACGGCTCACTCGGTGACACAGTGATGGGCTGGGCAGTGGCCCTGACCTTGCTCAGGGTTTTCCTGCTCTAGAGAGGTTTCAGACCTGAGCCCATCTCTGCTTCACTTGCATGACAAGAAAAAGCCATTCCAGCTCTACAGTGGCCTTGGAGCCGGGAGTGACACGAGAGACGGGATCTGCAGCAGGGACAAGCAGTGGTGGCATCACCAGTGAAAGATGAGGTTGGTCCTGCTGGCTCTGGGCACTGGCATTTCTGCCAGGCATTTCTTAAGAGTGGGGAGCTGGCAGGAGGAGATCAACAGGCATAAAAACTGGAGACAGGTTCAGCCAGTGGCTAAGGAGAAGCTTCCCATTAGGACAGTCAAGCGTGAGCTGCCTAGAGAGGCTGTGCACTCTCCATCCTTGGAAGTGTTCAAGACCCCACTAGATAAAGCCCCAAGCAACCCATGCTGCTCTCACAGCTGCCCCTGCTTCCAGCAAGAGGCTGGAGTAGAGACTTCGAGGTCCCTTCCAACCTCAATTATCCTCTCATCCTACAAGACCCTGTTCAAGAAGTGCCCGAGGAGCCCTGAGAGAGGTGCCTGATCACCCACTTGACATGAAGAGCTCAGATGTAGCTGATGGCATCCTTAGCAAAAATGCCCTATTAAATACTCTATTCCTGATTCTCATTTACTGAGAAGCAGAGATCTTATTTTCAGGGAATCCCCTTTAGCATTGCATGAATTTACCAATCAGGGATATATAGATAAGGCAGAATTAGTGTCATGATGTGCCAGTGTGGGAAAGGATTTACTGCTCAACAGATAAAAATTAAATACTCACTTGGCATAGAACACTTCATGCCCCAGAGCTGTCATGGTCTCCTTTGCAGCCATCTCCTGACACAGGAAACAGTGGGTGGAGGGACGGGAGGGAGGAAGGGGTCTGGGAGCAGAACTTCCCTGGAGCACCTGATCTGGGAACAGCCTTCACCAGCTAGTGGGGTTTTGCCAGCTATGAGTTGTCTCTCCTGGACTAAAAATGACAAAACATCTTCTGTAACCAGAAGTGTTTGAAACAGCCCCACAACCAGCTGCTGACTTGAACATCTCCAACCTAAAACATCTGCGGGGCCGTGGGGTCCTGTTGGTGAGTCCAAGCCATGACTACGTTGGCAAGCTGTCCCAAAACCCACCACACAAGGATGTCAGGGGGAGACAAGGACTCCCCAGGCAGAAGATCCCAGGGGAGACATCATCTCCCCCAAGAGCCTGTGCCCAGGGAGCAGCCGACGCGTCTCCATCAGAGCCCATCTCCAGGGCATGGTGTCCTTGGCTGGTCTGGCTGCGAGAAGAGGGATTTGGGAGGAGGCACTGGTGACCCACAGAGGATGGTGGCAGTGAGAAAACAGTGAACACAATTCCAGGCGGAAAACACCACGTCCCATTGACAGTCCCAGCCTTATGAGCCACCTAATGCTCTCCAAACTTCCCTGCTCCTTATCTGCCGCTCTCCCGCACATGCTGCCTCTCCAATTTCTATTCCTGGCCCTTTTAATCCTTCCTGCCTGGGGAGCAAACAGCCTTTGCAGCCTCCTTGCTCAGCAGGCTATTGAAGTAAAAGGTTTGTTTTGCTGAGCAGAGCAGAACGGGCCGTGTTTTTACAATATTTTACCAGACGCTGTGGCAAATCCTGCACATATTTGACCTGGTGTCTGTAGCATTTATCTAATCAAAGGGATCACTGTGGCCTGGCCAGGATTGGGATGGAGGTCCCTGGGATGAGGCTATGGAGGGGGCTATGCTCCACCTTAGCATCCCCATCCCAGTTTGCACATCGTTAAAACAATTTTTGGCCAGGACTGTGTCTGCTTAAGAGAAGAGCCACGTGAGTGCAGAGAGCTCTGGCCTGTCCCTCAGAACTGGCCAGATGACTGTTTTACCTGCAGCAAAGGGTCATTTATCACCAGCCCCAAGTGAGAAGGCAGGGCCTCTCCCCTGAGCTCAGATTCACTCCTGCATACCAGAAGCCTCAGGGTAGAAGAGCTGTTTAGAAGTGTTATGTAGGTCATTGTTTTGTGGGGGGCAAGGGCTGCTTGAACAATTCCTTGTCCTCCTAAAATGTGAACAGCAAATCATCACTAGCATCACTGCCCAAAGGCATGAGCTGCTGTGGAGCCAGAGACCTTGGTGTCACACCGTGGCCCAGGTGGCTCAGCAGGGCTGGCACTGCACTGGGGTGCCTGGGAAGGACAAACACAAGCAAGTTGGGAGCTCAAACCAACAGTGCTGGTTGTGAAATCCCAGGGATGTTTTCAGTGCAGAGCAAACTGATACCGGGTCATTAATTGCTGGTTCTCTTGTTCAGTGGTCGATTAAATCCCCACTCAATGATCTCACAATTGCACTGAAATGTCTCAGTTCTGGCTGAAGTGGAGGAGTGATGTGCTCAGGGGCAGCTGGGGAGGAGAGCACCCAGGTTTAGCAAGGAGGAGAGCACAGGCAGCTCTGCTGCTTGCTCCAGTCAAGGGGGTCCAGCACCAGCAGGGTCAGACCCGAGGTCTGGGCAAGGCAGCACAACCACTGTTGGTGCACCCACAGAAGGAAAAGTCCCACTGCAGAACAGAGCTCTGCTGCATTTTAGCATGTCTAATTTATTATTGATTATTTATTATTTAACGCATCTAATTAAAATTTTAAGACACATCAGTCAAATCCTGAGGCTGGGGGTGTCCAGCATGGAGTGATTTCAGTTGTGGGACAGGAGCTGCCCCGGTGATTCCCAGGGTGCCTGTGCCACCTTCCAGCCCCACTCACTGCTTGGGCACGGAGAGTGGGATCTGTTTATGGGGCATCCAGACGCTGTAAAACCTGATTTATAGGGAAGTAAAAGGAGTCATACACTTAGCTTTACATAGCAACGTGTAAATTGCCAGGCAGGAGCTGACCTTCCCTGACCGTGAGGGAGAGAGAAGGAGAAAGAGTGGAAGGGATGGAGGGAGCAAGAGAAGGGAAGAGCAGGGGTGAAGGCAACCAGTGATGGGGAGGGGAAGGCAATGACAGAAGCCAAGAGCAACCTTGTTCTGCTGGTAGGGTTTTCTACAAGTTTTCCATCCCAGGCACCATTAAGACCAACATTCAGCATCAAGGTCAATAGCCTGGGAAGGTGTTCCCTTGTCGGTGAGCGCCTGCTCCCGTGGTCCTGCCCGTGCCCAGGAGGAGCCAGGATCAGCAAAGTGCCTTGAGATTCCATAATAAACAGTCAACAACAATCACTGCAGCTCCACCAAAAAAAAAAAAGCTTAGCAGCATTCGGCAGTGGGTGAGATGATTAAAGATTAACCCCTGCCTCCTGCCTCCACCCCTCTGGGGAGTATAGGCCTTGAGGCTCAGCAAATCCTTTCAGAGAAATATCTGAAATAAAAGACAACAGATAGGGGACGCAGCCAAGGCAGAGGGAGGCAAGAGGGCCAATAGCCTCGGACAGGGGAATCGGTACAATCTGGCCCGTGTTTGCTGATGATAATGCGCCTTTCCAAAGCCCTAATAGACATGGAGATGGCAGATTATAGCGCAGCACTGGACCCGGCGTACACCACCCTGGAGTTTGAGAACATGCAGGTCCTGGCCATGGGCAACGGTGAGTCCCCTCCGCCTTCTCCCCTCTGCTGGGGTGGGATGAGCCGGGGGCTGCTGGAGGAGAAGTCCCTGGGGCGGCCACCAAAATGCTCCCAGCGGGGCTGGGGCACGGCAGGGGTGTCAGACGGGGGGCTCCCAGCAGCTCATGGGGGGTTTCTGCTTCCCCCAGGGAAAAACAGGTGTTGGAGCAAAGGTGTGTTTGGGGTAGGTGGGATGGTGCCCTGCAGCCCAGACACCCTGGGAACAGGCACACAGCGGGAGCTGGGTGGAATGAGAGGTCCCCACCAGACATTCAGCACAGGGATTGGGCCTGGGGCTGGATACGGTGGGGTCTCACCTCCCCCAGACCCCAGCCAAGAGAAAAGCCTGGCCAAAAGATTTTGAGTGAAACGCTGCTGATGGTTCACCAGACAGATGACTCAGCCTGTGGCTCCAGAGCAGAGAGCCAGCCCCAGTCCAGCAGCAGCTGGAGATAGGTTTTCCTGGAGCAGAAAGGCATTTAGCACCTGGCAAGGGTGAAAATCACTATGAGAAGTGATTTAGGCACTGTCCCCACAGCTGCTCTGAGGCCATGGCCCTTCCCTTGTGCAGTGCTGGGGTGTGGGGTGGCATCCCCTTCCCTGGCAGCACTGTGGGGCCAGGAGTCTCAGCCCCCAGTAAGAGGGACAAAGGGACACTAAGAGGATAGACAAATGTTCCCATCCCTTCAGATGGGTATGATCACACTTAACCACCCAGGATTCACACTGGGCCACCCATTTGGGGACCCAAGAGTCCTGGTGATTAAATGCTCAAAGATAACAGAAGATTCCCCTCCAAGTCCTCTCTAAAGTCTCTCTAAATGTGAGGTTAATGGCTAAATGCAGCACACCACAGAGAGCAACCCTCCAAGCCCTTTCCTCCTGTGTGTTGTGTCACCGAGGCTGCCAGGGCACCTCTGTCCCAGAAGGTCTGTGCTGGTGGGATGGACTCTCCCATCACAGCCTCTGTGGGTCTCCCCTAGGTTATGCTCTGCTCCACCAGGGATGTAACACCGTGGTGCCAAAGCAGCTCTGCTGTGCCATAACCTGCCACCACTCTGGGTCTCAGCCTCCTTCTTCACTCCCACGGTCTGGTCCTACCCACCCAGGTGCCTCAGGGCCAAAAGCTGCCCCCTCCGGCTCTGCTGATGTCCATGGACACTCAGGGACAAGCCCAGGTCTTGCTCCCTCTCTGTGTCTCTCTCCCAGCCAGCAAGCATTTGCACAGGGGGCTGCGAGTCGGCTCCCCTGGACCAAGGGCTCTCTGGGGCAGAGAAACATGATAATTTTATATCACAGGATCAGGTGTGATGTGACACACACTCCAGGGGTGGATGAGTCAGCTGGGGCAGGCAGCACCAACTCCTCTCCTCTTCCTCTGCCCAGCTCCAGACCAGGGACAGGTCTCACTTCCAGGGCTGCTTTGCTGTGCCCATGTCTCTGCCTGCGGAACCTCCACCTGTAGAATCTCTGCCTCCTTTTCTGGCCAAGGACCCAGAGCTTGGTCCCTGCCCTGCACAGTTCTGCAGCTCCAGCCCTGAGGCAGCTGCTCAGCAGGGAGTTTGTCACCATCACAGGCCAAAACTAGTCCTGTGTTCAGACAGGCTCAGGGACCTCTCGAGGAGCTCCTGTCCTAACACAAATCTCAGCTGCGAGGTCTCAAAGCCCGTTTTTTTCCTTTCCCCCATTTACCTCAACTCCAAATCAATTCCATGAAAAAATGCTTGACTGCAGCAGTCAGAGCCCACGTTTCTGGCACTACAAAATAAACTTAATTGGAAAATTATCTATTAGGCAATAATTTCATTGTTGGCTGTTAGACCAAGATGTTGCAATTTTTCTGATAACAGTTTTTCCTGCTCTATGTTCATCTGATTACAGTGTGATAGACTGCTAAAAAGGGATTTATCTGGGCTGTCACAGATACACAAGTAATGTGATTACAGGCAGATCAACCCTTCCTCTCTCATCTAAGTCCTACGTTTAGCTGAAAGTGGAAATTTAACTTTACTTCTGGAATGACCTGCATGCAGCTGAGCCCTCAAGAGGAAGGATGTTTTTAGAGGCAAGCTGCTCATAGGGACAGGAGACAGCCAGAATGGCCTTGGGAGGAGCTCAGGGCTTTGGGAGTGGGGAGAGGAGCTTTGCCCCAGTGTTGCTGCACGCAGGGAAACGCAGCTGTGTGACAGGGTGTGCCAGGCAGGGACATGGAGAGGCAGCCAACTGACTCAGAAAGAAACACAGGAGAGACACAAGGAATTACAAAGACAGAAAGCAGGCAGGGAAATGAAAGATACTGCCAGAGCCAGGGCTGGCTCCAGAACCCTCCCATGCTAGCTCACTGCTGGGTCCACGCCAGTCACTCCTGCTGAGGGATGGCATGAGCAGGATGTGCAGCACCTGCTGCAACACATCTTCTTCTGCAAAACAGAAGTTAAAATTGCAGCCCCACCCCAGACACCCTTGCCTTGGCTTCACCTCCCCCAGCACCCACACTCCAGCTACCACTTGGGACCAGCTTTTTTATGGCACCCAGCCCCTTTCTGCTGGGTGCCAAGAGGGAGCAGCTGTGACCCTCCCAGGGTGAGCGTTAACTGTGTCCCTGCCAAACCCAGAGACCAGGGACCAATAGACTCAAGCATTAAAAATCCCAGCAGTTTCTATGGCTTTGTAGATCCTAGGTATTATTTGCAACTGGCATTTCCACTGAGGCAGGGGAATGTGCCTATGCTGATACAGAAAACATACATGGGAGGGGACAATTAGATCAACTGAATTAAGGGCTGATCCCTTCAGCCTTGAGGTTTGTTTGGCTTGCTGGAGGGGTTTAGTGTAGGTTTTTAGCCTTTCAGATGTCCTTTCCTCCAGAGGCTGCTGCAATTCCCCATCCTCCCAAAAAAACCCTGCAAATGCCAGTCCCCCTTGGTCTGTAAGGACTGCAAGACAAATCAACCCCCACTGTGGTCCTACCGGACCCCGAGTAGTTTTTGCCCACACGAGTTTTCCAGCTGAAGTCCTTTGAGTTTGTTATATACCTAAAGTCTTGTTCTCCCCAAGAAGTGCTGTGCAGGCTGGAGCTGCAGGCCTGGCACTGAGGCTCTCTGGGAAAGGGAGCTGGTCACCTTGTTTCTGTAACTGCATCTGCCCAGGGCTGGCTTGGGTTCTTTCAGTGCTATAACACAAACACCTCCCTAATACATCAGCTGCTCACCCTGAGCTGTAATACCTCAACTTTAACTCTGCATCAGCTTTTTCTCTGGCCACACTGCTGCAGCCCCAAGGCATCTGCAAATCCCTGAGGAATTTTGGCTCCGCTCTGTGACTCCTGCAAATGGGCCTCTGCTTTATCTGAAGCCCTTTGGGAAGAGCTGTCTCACCCTAACACACAGGGAGCTTTTGCATACTCAAAATACAAGGACTCCAGGACTCAGAGCACCCACTGCTCCTTACACACCTCTCTGACCGGCCCTTGTCACACAGCCTGGCTGCAGCAGCCTCGTTCCTCCAAAAATCAAGTTTCTCACTGGAAACTGAGTTAGGAAATGGCGGCCGTCTGTCTCACTGTGTTCTTCTTCTGTGTCCTTCCCCAAGCAGACACGTCTCCATCAGAAGCAGCCAACCTCAACACCTCCAGCAGCATCGGGGTGAGCGCGCTCTGTGCCATCTGCGGGGACCGCGCCACGGGCAAGCATTACGGAGCCTCCAGCTGCGATGGCTGCAAAGGCTTCTTCAGGAGGAGTGTCAGGAAGAACCACATGTACTCCTGCAGGTAAGGGCAGAGGGGGCAGAGTCACGTGGCTGAGACAAAACAGTCCCCGGGAGCTGAGTGGCAAAGCCCTCAAAGCGCAGCAGCACCGTCCTTCATCCTCATCATCCTCCCTGCAGCATCCACTGCTTTCCCTGAGCTCACCCCCCAGCTGGGAGGGGTCAGGGACTGCTCTAACTTTGGGATTGCCCTCCACTGATCAGTGGGTAAGATCCTGGGAGGTCTTGCCCATACTTCAGGGGCCAAGCACATCTTGCAAATGGATATGTCCAGCCCTGGATGTGGCAGAGAGATGCTGGGGGAGAAGACATTACAGGGGCTGAGCACCTCACTACTCAGTGCTCTGAGTGCAGCACAAACCTTGCTCGCTCCCTGGGGGCTCTCCTTCTCCATCAAGAGATGGAAGGGTGCCTGCCATCCACCTAAAACGCTGTCACTGCCTGTGACATGATACAAGAACATCTAAGGAGCACCAAGCTGGGCAGCATGGTGGGTACATCTCTGAGGATGAGGCACTCATATTGCTCCTGCAACTCATGCACTGCACATTGTGCCATCGGTGGTGGCCCTTGGCTCTCCTGTGCCATCAGCAGCTGTGACCCACTCGTTCCCTGCTCTGAGTAACCCACACATAGAGAGTCACAGAGGAAACTGAGGAATCCTCAGCTCAGAGTGCCTAAATCCTTTTGGCTTTTTGAGTGAGTTACTCCTGAAGGCCTGACAGCCACTTGGAGAGTGTGAAGAGCAACATGACTCTAAAATCTGAGTGACAGAAGGAAACTCTGGGTTTAAGAGTGCATGTGAAACACATTATCACTTGCAGCCTGGGATTATTTAAGCTGCCTGCCAAGGGAGCCCTCTCCCCACAGCTCCACCAGAAAAGCCAAGGTAACCAATTCTTTGGAGGCTGAGGCTTTTATATGTGCCACAGAAATGCTTAAAAAGCTGCTTTCAGGCATCCATTTGGGCAAATCTTAGCTTGGGGCTTTGAAAAGCACTGTAGAAACAAGCCTTTTCAAAGCTACAGAACTCGGCGTGGCTGGGAGCCCTTTCCCAGCTCTGTACCCCTTTGTCTTTACTCTGCAAATTTGAGCGAATTTGCAAGTGAAATTCATGCTTCAAGTGGCCACCAGGCCTGTGCTGCCTGCAGGAGCCACACACATGGGAGATCAGTGTTTGCCCTACCAGGTGCAATGGAAGTGGTGACAGTTTAGAGGGAAGGAGCATTGACTCCCAAGTCCTCTCTCAAGTGCAAGTGGCAGCAGAGCTGTTTGCACACCAGTGATGCTGTCCAGAGGTCAGAACCAACCTGTGAGCATCCCAGACACAGCCCTGGAGAGATGCAGGGATTTAAACTGACTCCTTAACCTTACTAGCTCAAGAACAACCCTCTACCCGCTTTTTATTCAGAATAAATGCATTCTTCCTTTATTCTAACTGGGATCTAACTTAAAACAGAGGCTACCAAATTGGTTCTGACCCTCCTAGATCACACTTTTAACTTCCCTGGGACTTGCTAGTCCATTATGGGCATCCTATGCCTAAATAGTTAGTCAGACCAGCAGCCTGAGCTCCTGCGTGCGGCTCTCAGCTCTAGTCTGTCCTTACTGAACATCCTGAGGGAGAGTACAGAGCTGACATGTTCAGTGCAAAGAAGAAACTGTAAGCATGGAAAAGGCACAGACCAGAGCTCCTTTCTCAGGATGAGCCTCTGGGAACCTGCTCTGAGCACGTTTTGGAGCTTAGGGCTCTGCCTTGTCCTGCCTTCAGGCTCGGTCCTGCTGCTCCTCACACCTTTCTTTCTTCCCAGGTTTAACAGGCAGTGTGTGGTAGACAAAGACAAAAGAAACCAGTGCCGGTACTGCAGGCTTAAGAAGTGCTTCCGAGCGGGAATGAAGAAGGAAGGTGGGTGATGGTGTGGCTTCCTGCACTCCCCCAGCAGCAGCCACGCTGGCTCTGTATGTTTGAGGAAGCCCTCACAGCCCAGGGCCAGGCCCTGCCATGCACACACTTGTCCAGCCATGTTAGCCCTGTCTTCCCTCCACGGTGCTCACCTGGGCACGGATCCAGATTTAGGGAGAGTTTTGACCTCCAGTCATGAGCCCGGCATGTGCCCTTACAGGGCTGCATGGCAGGAGTCACTGCTTGTTTAGCCCTGCTTCTCAGGACTGGCAGGAAAACCTGGTGGCCCTAATGATGGTCCTGTTGGACCCTGCTGGTGACCCTGTTGGTGGAGGGACACACTGCCAGGAGCAGCCCAGAGGAGCTGTCAGCCATCCCACAGAGCTCAACCCATTGATGTCTGCAAAGGGACAACCGGGAGGCACTTGGTCCTGTTGTTCCATACAGAGAAATTAAACCCTGTGCTCCTCCCAGTTCACACCTGCTCAAGGAGAAACTTTGGAGTAAAAGGTCCTTGAAGACAACAGGGAAGTACCAGTGGTACCTGGGTGGCCTGCAGGAACACCTCTGGACAGGAACATTTCTTCTCTGTTAAAGGGGATGAGGTATTGCAAGGAACTTGTCTTGGCTTTTCCTGAAGAACATAGGAATCCTCTTCTCCCTGCAGCGTCCGCTCATCCCGTGCCCAGAGCTGTGCTGTTGTCTGTTAATATTCAATAGAAGTTACATTAGGTGCATGACCAGCTAATACTGAGCAAACATTTGGAAAACATCATGGCGTGACTGAACTCGGGGGCCTGCTACTGATAACAAGCAGCATAACCTTGAGAGCTCCTATTTACAGCCGCTGACTGCAGGGCTTTTCTCCTGGCCCAGCCTCATTATTGCTTTTTATCAGGTGGATTTATACATTGAGAACGTATCAATCCAGAGAGCCACCAGCCCAAGGCAGGCACTGTTCTGGTTCCTGTGCCACCAATCAATAGCTTATTTGAGCAGACGCCTTTGAGTGGCACGGCCAGGGTGAGTTACATCCAGCCCGTGGCCTCGTGACAGACAGACAGGCAAATCCTCCCCTTTGGCACTACTGCTGCTGCTCTGGCTGCTGCCACCTTGGACTCAAAGCCCAGGTCCTCAAGACTAGACCAAGCAGGGAGGCACACTGGGGTCAAATCTGTCCTGGCTTTACAATACAGGATGAGCAACGCTTTTACAGCAAGGTGTGAGAGAGCTCTGTTGCTCTGGATAGATGAGTAGGAGTAGTTCTGCACTTCTTTCCTTATTGTAGCTTAGATGGAAGTTTTCCAACTGCACCCATCTGGTGCAAGAGCTTCCCAAATGGACTCGCAGGAGTCCTGTGGACAAAGGAGCCTTGCAGGTACTCGCCCCCTTCATTGCACACGTCAGCTTTGGGCTGCACACGTGAGCAGGGCCACCATTTCAGACCCTGTATCTTGAAACAAAAAAAGCTCAGATCCTTTGAGAGGAAATTTTCCCATTAAACTCTACAGGTGTTTGGGTTCTGAGGTGACCCCATCCCAGGGAAGTCTAATAAAGCAAATAGGAAATCAGAACCACCAGATGTAGTGAGCTCTCACAGGCATCCCGTCACAAACCAGACACAGCTGCTCCTCCACCCTGCCTGGCAGGGAAGCTGGGAAACTGCAGCTAAGGAAGGGGGATGCCAAGAGTCTGTGCTAGTTTTTGGTGTGCATTGCCATGAACGACCTGCAGCTCAGCCAAAATACTTTCTTGCAGCTGTACAAAACGAACGGGACCGAATCAGCACCCGCAGATCAAGTTACGAGGACAGCAGCTTGCCCTCCATCAATGCCCTACTGCAGGCAGAAGTCCTGGCACAGCAGGTACCTCTTCCTTCTTCTTTACCAAATACAAAAGCATCAGGCACTATCTGGCTCATAGAGCCAGCTGACTATTTAATAGCTGAGTCTTCGAATTACCACCTCTGTTCTAAGTAAGTGACTTATCTGCCAACTCAACACTGTCTTTTCAAAAACCATTTGTTACCTGAAACCACCCCTTTTATTTCTCCTTGGTCCAGAACTTAGTTGTAACAATATGCAATGATTTGTTCTGCTCTGATGAGACACATGAAGGCTGGAGAGCCTGCTGGAAGAAAACAGGGTAGAACCACTGAAATCCAAAGAGCTGTGGCTGCCTAAGTCCACGAGGGGCTGGCCCTGCATGAGCAGCCTCCCTTCCCCCTTGGCCATTAGGATCTTCAGATTCTGGCTTCCTGCACAGTTTCACAAGGAATCGGTTACATTCTTGCTTTATGTAGATATCTTTTCCAGTTCTTGCTGACATTCCCCATTTCCACTAGCATACTGCCAAGATTTCCTAGAGTTTCAGAGCTCACCTGAAAAGATGGCTCTGGTTTAAGAGTCTGGATATTACAAGTGGTGAACACCAGCTCAGCACTCTGTGGGAGGACACAGGACAGGATGGATGCACACTGTGGGGAGGGTTTGTCTGTGAGCACAAGTGATGAGGATGGGGCTGTGCTGGTGGCAAGAACTGCCACTGTTCATGGGAGCTGGGGAGAGCAGCAGTTCGTGTCCTGGGGAAAATGAAGAGGGGTTTGTGTTGGCAGTCCCTGTTCTTAATTGCTTCAAGGGTCATGTTACCCTGAAGGCTACCCTGGGAGGTGCTCCAGGACAGGATCTGCTGTGTCTGGGCTCCACATGAGGCTCAGGCTGTAAGATCCACTTCCCTGAGGAGGTGATGTGCCAGAAGGGCCAAGGACCAATCCTGTACACAGGAAACACATCCAAACTCATCCCCTATCTCACCTTTTCCTAAAATATATTTACATACCCCATAAAAATAATATTGGTGCTGCTCCCAGAGGTGTGAGATAAGGGGGTCTCAAGTCATCTCAAGGGAAGGACATTTCTGGGACTCAGAGCCCTGCAGTGGCATCACATGTAAGCCTGTAGCAGAGTCTGCTGATAAAAACTACCACCATGGACAAATCCAGAGGAGCTCCTGCTCTCCCACAGAGCACAGAGAGACTCATTAAACAAGGCAGGCTCCAGCACGGTAATTGGTAACTTTTATGTGCCTGGCTAATTAGAACAAGATACTGCTGAGGAGCTGCTTTCTCCAAGATCTAGGGTCACTCACTCAGAGGTCTTTATTTATTTGCTAAGCCTTCCGGGCCCACTGATTAGGGTAATACATGGTGAGATTTTTACAATCTTATTTATTCAATAATAGCTGGTGATCTGGAAAGCCTCCAGGTAATGCAACCTGCAAAAAAAAAAAAAAAATGCAGGTGGCATTTGAATTCCATTTCCTTGGAGAGGCTGGCAGGGTCCAAGCTGAAAACGCTGGCAGGAACAGGACAGGAAGAGCTGATGTTGTACAAGAGCACAGAGGGCAGGCAGAGGGCAGCCATGGGGTTGAGTTAATTGCTTACAGAAGCATAAGGATAAAGTAGTGACTAAGGGCAAATTTTTAGATGGCCTGGGTGAGCAGCTATGCATGAGAAGCAGGCAGGAGGTTGGGTGCCCGGTTTGGGGGAGATGTCCTGTCCAGCTCTGTGTGACACTACTTGCAAAGCTTTCAGGCTTGTCCTTTGCAAATGAAATGGCCCCATTTGCCTCTCAGTCACAAATAATTGGTCATGCAACAAACGTGGCCTGTGTTGTGGGCATGCTTGCACTTGTCCACTTTTGCCAAAAGGACTAAAAGCTGGTGGGAGGTGGGAGATTGTTGTCTTTGAAGTCTGTCTTTAGCAATTCAAAGTGGGTAAGGTCAGATAATTTATGACCTGGTGCTCACAGAAAGCAATGTCAGACCTGGAAAGCTGCCTTGAGCAGAGACTTGGTGTGCTCATGGTGACTCAGGAGAGAAGCAGAGCCTGCACGTCTCCAGCTCTGGCCAAGAACTGGCTCTGGAGCAAGGTGGAAGGAGGAAGCAGTTCTCTGCCCTTTGGTGGGACCAAGTATCTTGTGCAGCAGCACTGGGTGGACATTTCCTTGCTACCGGTGAGGCTGACTGCTACACCGTCCCCTCTGTTCCCTCCTGAGTCTTGACTGAGCACATTTGTTCAGTGGGAGGTAGATCCTGGCTTTAGAAACATTTCTTTTGTGCTTTCCAGTCTATTCAAGGCATTACAGTTTACCAGGATGATCCCCAGCCTCGGCTCTGAAGCATTCCATGTTCACAGGTCCCCGGGCTGATCTCAATTTAAATGAGTTATGTTGGGTCACCTATTCTGGGGGCTGGTTGTGCAACAGAAAAAAAAGTAATCTAATCGTTGATGCTGGAGTCTGCATCAGCACAACCCAGGGGCTGGGGATTTTCCTGTCTGTGTTCCCTCTGTGGCACTGAAGGCTGAAGGATCTCTTCCCTCCTTCCAGATATCATCTCCGGTGTCTGTGATCAACGGAGACATCCGAGGGAAGAAGATTGCCAGTATCTCTGACGTGTGTGAGTCCATGAAGCAGCAGCTGCTGGTGCTGGTGGAGTGGGCCAAGTACATCCCTGCCTTCTGTGAGCTGCCCCTGGATGACCAGGCAAGTCCCCCTGTCCTTCCCCGGGGAGCCAAGGACAGCTGAGACCTTCAAAGAAAATGTGCATTGTCCACTCTGTTATCCTGACTGCTGCAGCTGATTGGGAATGGTATCCATACAATGCCAGCACGGGCCAGGCATCCATACAATGCCATGTGCTGCTAATCAGCCGATGAGCACAGCCATGATAACACTGAGCTCAAATTAGGAACACTATCAGATGCACATTTTGCAGGGGTCAGCCAGCCAATTGTTTATCAATTACAGTTTGAGCAGCACTTTGAAAACCTGAAGTGCTATACAGATGCTTGGGGCAATCAGAATTAGCAGGACAGATTTCTGGCCTAAGGTCTGCTCAAGACTTAAAAACTCATGTGCCTGTCTGTCTGTCTTTCTGTTTTTCACCTGGGGATGTGTTTGTACCCATAGTGTGGAATTGTTTAAGCTAAACACTAATTTGCTCCCAAAGCAATAGAAAGTCTTTTTTTTCCCCCAGGGTTAAAAAGCAGGGATATGTTTGCATTTAACACAAATTGCTAAAATGACATTTGTGCGTTCCCTAACCCAGGTAAGCACAGAGGGTTTGATGTCCTCTGTAAAACTGCACTGCAGGATCTCAGTGACCTCAAAGGGATGCAAGGACAGGTCTCCTGTGTAAGTCTAAATTTCAGAGGACTGCAACAGATGTTGAGGGACATGATATGTGCCCAGCCTTGAACAGCACATGTGGCTGGTGGGGATGCACAGAGAGAAGGGATAGCACTTCTGGCAGTGGCCAGCACAGGCCCTCTCACAGGTAGGAAGGTATTTCCAATCTGCCCACTGTAACAGTCATAAACCCACCATGTATTCCCTTCAGCTAGCACCAGTCTCCAGCCCTGTTGACCTAGAGGTAATTTTTATATAATGAAGAAAAAGGATGTCTAGAAATTGAGAGTATCCAGCTGATCAGATCCCCAGGGGTCTGAGGCAGCTCTGTACAACACATTAAATCCTTGTGCCACTTGAAACAGAGGCCCTAAACCTGGATAACAACTCCGCAAACTACAGCAATTTCCACAATTTTACAAGTGTGGGACTGCAAAATTTCTCCAAGAAGGAAACAAAACCTAAAGATGACCCAGTCAGAACCCTGCCTTCCCACGGGGAGAGGCTGCTCTCAGCATCCTCCACAGGCTCGTCTCGACTGAAATAGTTCTGTTATGCCCAGCCATCCCCCATCATGAGCAGTTCCCAACCTGTCCCAAAGGGCTTGGGAGGAAACACTCCACTGCATTAAAACTAATCAATGAATGCCATCCGTGCTTTTGAAGGACAGTGTGAGAACTGTGGCAGCAGATGCTCAGGGGAGTGTGGGAGGAAGGACAGAAATACCAGGGAGTAGGAATGAACAAAACTGTGAAAGGCAGCTGCCCAAGGGGCAGGACAGCCAGTCAAGAGGTGTCCAGTGGGTACATACAACGTTGGGAAACGCTGTTACATTGCCATTAAAGTGTTGCCTGAGAATGAATCATCACTGCCAACATTTTTATAAGAAAGGTCATACCCAACCCATTATTCTTCTTCAACAAAATGTCAGAGTACTGGGTTTGGTGGGACAAAGCCATTTCTACTTTGCTGTGTTACAACTTTTATATTTATCCTAGTTCACAATGGAATGATGTGTCTTAGGTTCATCATTGCAAGAACAAATATCAAATGAGGTGGCTTTGCCTTGTTGAAGTAACTGACTTTAACCCTGCTCAAACAAGCAAATTTTAGGGAAACAAAAAGGATAGTTACAAATTGCACTTTCCTTAATTTTCATTAGGCAGGAAATTTCTGTGTGAGAGCTTTGCTCCTCCCTGGGACTTGCAGGTTTTTCCATCCTTCTCAAAGTTTTGTCAGATAGGGAAGCCCAGTTTTGTGCAGCTCTGGTAATTACAAGCAGCTCAGCCAACATATCCACCCATGTTTGGATAGTGATAGAGAGAGGCTAGATTTTGGCATCTAGATAAAGACTCCCCAGTGTCATGTGTGCGTAGTCTTTTTGCAAGGATCTCCACTCTGTTTATTTTGCATAACGTTTTTCACCGTCTGCAAAAAACAAAAATTCCCTCTCTCTGCCATCAGCATCTTTCCTAACCAGAGCTCTCTTCTATGGGTGACACATTCTCCTGGCATTTCTGGTAGGGTAAGACTGCTCTTGGCTTTGTCAGATGCTGAGGGATAACACACTGGAAAAAGGGACCATTCCCACCAGGACATACTTTTCAGGATCTATTAATGTTTAATGATTGTTTTCTCCAGCAGAAGCTCCTGGCAGGACATTAAGAAGCCTCTGTGTCAGGGTGTCCAATTGTTAACTTCCCTTTCTGCCTATATCTCTGAAATTTTTAACTGAAGGAGGGCAAAAGACTCAGAACATTCTCAGGAGCCGCTGGAGGGTGTAAAATTAAACACTTCAATCATTAACGTCAAGAGAGAAAAACATGCCTTTGGCTTCCCTGGCTCCAGTTCCCATGGCTGGGGAGGGAATAAGTGGCCAGAGGGTTACCAGACGTGGGTCCCCATGAGCATGATTTCAGTGGGAGGTGGGCACAGCCCAGAGGGAGAGCAGCTGTCCACAGCAGTGCTTCTCCCCAGTTCTCAGGATGGAGCTTGGTCCCTGGTTCTGCACTTGGCAGGAGTTGCCTTTTCTGCAAACAGCCCCCTGTAAACATGTCCCACGCTGGTGTGAGGTCCTGGGACAGTCTGGCATGGTCTTGCTCATGACATGTGTCCTGAATATGGGATGCTTCAGGTGTTGTCAATTGTCTACTGGTCCTGCTGCACCTATAACAGGTTTTGCACAGAAGTAACCCATTTTTGATCTTTCTCTCACTGTGACTGCAGAGGGGCTCTCACTCCCTATCCTTGAGTGCAGTACAGGAGCTCTGGGCTTTCTCTCTTGCTTGTCTCTGCCTCTGCATCACCCAAATAACTTCTCCCTGCCCTTGCAGGTAGCACTGCTGCGCGCACACGCAGGGGAACATCTGTTACTGGGAGCTGCCAAGAGGTCCATGGTGCTCAAGGATGTCTTGCTGCTAGGTAAGGAGTGCATTTCTGCTCCCAGCCCATCAGCTTCTGTGATGCTTCCCCGCTGGGGTGAAGGAGAGGGTGGTTCAGTGTTTGTGGACATCCTTTTTGCAGGGTAATGGCTTGAGCCCTTCTGTATTTTAGCGAGCCTAGCACAACCTTTGGGTGCAGGGAGGCTTGGCAGGCATTCACATCAAGGCCATGACATGTGACAAAGCTGGGGAACTGTGAACATTCCCAGTGCACCTCCAGGTTTGTGTAAGCAGGCTGTGGTGTGATTGAGAAAAAAGCTCTCACTCCTCAGTCAGCTTCTCCTCACTTGAGTGGCTCCCATGGAATGAGAGGCTGCTCTGGCAACACAGACCAGCGTTTCTGGTGGGCTGGGACAGGGAAGGGGCAGAAGGGGGAACTTCTTATTTCCTCCACCCTCAAAATTATCTCAGTGTTGGTTGCCTGGGTTTTGTTAAGTCACCCCTGATAAGTTTTGAGCAATGGCAAGGTGATGGTCTCTGTGCTGCTTGTCCAAAGGAAATGACCACATCATCCCACGGAACTGCCCCGAACTGGTGGAGGTGAACCGTGTGGCCAACCGTGTCCTGGACGAGCTGGTCCTCCCCTTCCAGGAGCTGCAGATAGACGACAATGAATACGCCTGCTTGAAAGCCATCATCTTCTTTGACCCAGGTACGCTCCAGCTTGGGGAGGGTTACCCTCAGAGAGGACAGGTCTGGGTTATGCTGACCAATACTGGCCCTGAGTTGTGGAAATGCTGCCTGGTCTCCTCTCTGGGCTGAACTGTTCTTAGAGGGAGGGGAGAATTCAGCCTGAGAAGAGAAAAAATGCCCACTACAGCAAAGAACACGGAATTGGAGACAGCCTGCCTCAGGCTGTGCCCAGACTTCACCACAGGCAGCTCCTGGGGAACAGCCTGGATAGCTTGGGGGGTGTGTGTGTGTTGTTCCAGATGCCAAAGGACTGAGTGACCCGTCCAAGATCAAGCGGATGCGGTACCAGGTGCAGGTGAGCCTGGAGGATTACATCAACGACCGGCAGTACGACTCGCGGGGCCGCTTCGGGGAGCTGCTGCTGCTGCTGCCTGTGCTGCAGAGCATCACCTGGCAGATGATAGAGCAGATCCAGTTTGTCAAGCTCTTCGGCATGGCCAAGATTGACAACCTGCTGCAGGAGATGCTGCTGGGAGGTGAGTGCTTGAGGGTGCTCCATGAGGCCTCTCAGTGAGGCCCTGATCACCCTCCCCTTGAGAACCTCCATGGTGGAGAACATCCACTGCTCCCTACCTGAGAAATTTAGGAGATAGCCTGTATGCAGGTCAGCCTTTGACTCACACAAAATCATCTCCCCTGTCACTGGCAGTGGTAACTAAGGGTCCTCTACTTCTCCTCACCTAAAGAAATGCATTAGCTGTGCATCTATTTACAGAGAGGTGTCCCCAGCCCTCTGCACATGGACAAGATTTGCTGTGCAACCCCAATCTCCTACCAGGCACCCATTTCACTAATCCTCCTCTGCCAGAAGGGAGCCATCAAAACAGAAAAGTCTGAAAGTTCAGGTTGAAAGAGTGTCACAGATTTTCTAGTGGGAGCATCCAATGGGACAAAACAAAATGAAAAGTTGCCACTGTGCTATTCTTTACGTAGAGGTGACTCAGGAATATGATCCTGTATAAAAGGAAATGCAGGCAGCACACAAGGGTTAGGTGGCTCAAGGTATTCATGGAGGAAAAAGGGAAGGGTGTGCTCCAACCACCTACACACAGGCTGATCGTGCACAAAGCCTTGGACCCTTTGGTGCAGTGGGTCTGCCCACCTGAACTGTCTCCCTCTGCCATTGTGGAAACAAATGTCATATGCTGCATTTTAGGCTCATCAAGTGAAACACCGCACGCCCACCACCCCCTGCACCCTCATCTGATCCAGGAGAACCTGGGAACAAACGTCATTGTGGCCAACACAATGCCTCCTCAGATGCACAACGGGCAGATGTGTGAGTATTGCCAGAGGGACACAGAGCTCCCAGGAGCTCCCAGGAACTTTCCAGCTTGCCTATGGAGGTAGCTTCTACCTTGCAAGGAATTTCCAAGCAAGACAGAGTCTCTGGTAATGAGTGTGTGAGAAATTCCTATGCAGAAAAGAGGGAAAGACAAACAGAGACATGGATTAGGTTAGATTAGATTAGGCTAGACTAACTGATTCAACAAGATATTCCTTGTCAGACTAACCTTTACATAGCCCTTAAGGGATGAATGATACTATCCAATGCCTAGTGAAATCAGTGGAAAGGCTCCCCTTCCCTTGAATGGTTCAAACACATCTCAGTTTTCCCTCTGCAAAATCACAGGAGAATCTGGTCCACCATATGGGGCCACCCCTTGGGAACTTGGGCTGAGCTGACCAAAAAAGTGGCCAGTAAGGGTCAAAATGCCAGCAGGTCCCCTCATTGTTATTGTGGTTCTTCTGGGGCACCAAACCATCCCTGTGTGTCTGAGCTGCCTTACAGCAAACACAGAGGCCCTTGGGAACTTCTGCTGTGCTGACACCTGAACCCCACAAGGCTGAGGACAGATCCCAGTGCTGCCAGATCCATGAGGCCCTCTTCTAATGTTGTTTCTCTCTCTGTAGCTACTCCAGAAACTCCACAGCCATCTCCACCTGCGGGCTCAGGACCAGAGCAATACAAGCTGCTGCCTGGAGCCATTGCAACCGTGGCAAAACAGCCCACGTCCATCCCACAGCCTGCCATCACGAAACAGGAGGTCATCTAGCAACCTGCAGAGCAGCTGGCCTCCTCTGGAAGGCCATGTGGGAGAAAAGCCCAAACTGACTCTGTCACTGTGAAAAGAGAAGCCATCCAGAGGTCCCTGGGCACAAACACACGGACTTGCTGATTGGACTAGTCCACCACCGCCAAAAGCTGTCTTCCTGCAGCTATGGACAGTATGTGCCATGGGCAGCCCTGAGTCCCAGAACTGAGGCTGAAGCCCTACTGAAACCCTCAGTCCTTGTCAGAAGGGCCAGATTCCTGCCTCCCCCTGTGGGGAGATGGCAGTGACTGGCTGGGGACAGTGCAGCTGGCTGTTCCCCCACTGCCACCTCGGCCCTGGTTCAGCACACACCAGAGCCTGCCAACAAGGAATTCTCTGTGCTGTGTGAACGGAGAGCTCCCCTCCCACAACTCCCCAGACAGTCCCTAGTCCAGCCAAACCTGATGGAGATGGAAGCTCCCCCAGGAGCATCACAGCAGGTGAAGCACATGGGATTTGCCCAGAACTGCTCCTCAGCCTTGGCTAGTCCCAGGTCTCTGCGGGGTGTCACCTTCCAGCACACTAACCCCCCCCAGCCAGGTCTAACAAATCTTTTCAGCTGATACTGGAGCAAAGTCTGGCCCACCAAGATTGTCCTCTACTTGGATCCTTCTGCCTTTTGAGGGGTTTTGTAATTTCTGTGCCATGCATGCCCTCTCACCACAAGGCTCAGAGAGGAAACCACTGCCAAATCCTTCCCTTACACCACTTACTGCCTCCTGGGCTGGGAATTTGGGGGACCATGGGATTCCAGAGATTTCAGCTAATGGGATGGGGTCATCCTCACACAGGCTGGTGGCACTGGCCCAAAATATCACTGGCCTCACTACTGTTCCTCAGCAGTCAGAAGAAGACCACAGGATGCCTTTTTGGAAGGAAGTGGGGGGAAGGATATAAGAAGGGGAGAGACCTGTGAGGGTGAGAAGAGCTTGAGCCTCACAGATTGGACCCAGGTCTCGGGCTGCCCAAGTGCTGGGAGCATTGTGACTCAGGATCTCAGTTCAGACCCAGCTTTAATGCTAAGATGTGCCATACAATCCACTTCTCCAGTCCAGTGCCACTCTTTCAGCTCAGAATGAGTGGCTGATAACAGATTTATAGGTCTTCATAACACGATAAGAATTTCATTGCGACTCCTTCAGGCCTCAGAAGGTTTGAGGGCAGCAACCTCAAAAATACAATGCTCTGAGTCCTGCAGGGACGAACGAGAGGCCGAGGAACAGCCCTGTCTCACCCAAGCCCCTTGGGTCTGCCCCAGCCTTGGGTCTGCCCCCGCCTGCTCTGCTCCCTCCTGCCCCCAGCCCTGTTTCTCTGTGCCTGCCTGTGCCAAAGCCCCGTGGATGTGACCTTTGGTTTACAGCTGGAACCAGGAAAGGAGCCCTCCTGCCCTCCCACCTCGCTGGGGGCCAGCAGGGCTGGAGCTCTCAGAGCCCTGCACGACCTGAGTCACTTCTGGCCTCTCGGGAGGATGGGGATGGTGGAACCACAGCTGGTGGGGATGAACCCGAGCCAGCTCAGCCAGAGGAGCTGCAGGTCTGTCCCTTGATTTCCAGGGCAGAAATGAACCGCCTCTCCTCGTGCTGATGGTGTCGGACGGGTCCCGTCGCCTCAACGCCGCTGGCATCGCACCCAGTAATTTATTGCAATGATGAATCCAATCATTTTCTGTAAATTATTTTGTAAATCACATTGATTATTTATAATTGGGAGATTGAATGCAAAAAAAACCCACCCCCCCATAATAACCCGGCTGTCTTTTCCAACTGCAGCAACCTTTTATTCTGTACGTAGACATGTTCAGTGGGGAATCCTTTTTGGTCCATTTGCACCAAGTATTCCTCGATATTGTACATTAATTTTTGCTGTTTTCTGCCTTCCAATGGAAACAGGAATATTTCTTCACTAGAGTTTGTATTCATTAAAAAAAAAAAGAAAGAAAAATAAATGCAAAAATATTTTCTAACTTTTCCCAGACAGATGGATTTCTTTCTCCTGGGAGGATTTATTGTAAATCAAGGGGCTCAACCTCCCTGTTGCTCTGAGCACAAAGCATATGTGTATTGAGGAAAAAGCCCAAACAAATGTTTGATGGTGTTGCCAGCTGTCACTATTTCCTGGCAAGCCTAATGCTAGCTGGTGTCTGTCCTGAAGCCACGTGTGCTGGAACCATGAGATTGAATAACAACCCCAATTTTCATTAAAAGAAAAACAAATGCGAAGAATAAATATTTGCTTTCATGATTCCAGGGAGCTTAAAGACTTGAAGTAACCACATTCTGAAAGCCAAGAAAAGGGAGCTAAAATATGGTATTCACACTTCAAATGTGTTCATTTTTATGCCTTTCTTGTATTTCAGAGGTAATTTCTGAGTACTTCGGGGTGGTGATTGTGCTTTGGTTCCCACAGAGCCACCCTGCTGCTGGCAGCAGGTGAGAGCCTGATTGAGCCTACAGGTCACAATAAGATGATCAAGTGAAAGTCAATTTGTCACTGGTTGTAAAGGTGAAGAAATACACGACAATTAGAGAAGGCTCGTAATGACCTGCTCTTCTGATCACAGGGAGCCCGTGCTCAGCTGTAGCATGCCCAGGAAGATAATAGGGAGATAGGAGAGAAGTTTAGATGGCTGTAAAGATTAGGGCTCTGGGAAGGAACAACATCCAGCATCTCCTGAAGCTCAGGTCTGCAGGAGATGCCCTCGTGTTCCTCCGTCTCCTGCCCCTGATGTGAAATGAGGTGGGCAGTCTCATCCCAGGTACAAGGGATGAGAAGCAGCCTGATTTTCCACCCCATTTGCACAAATCCAGTGGCTTCCCCGTGATAGTCATACTGGTGAAAAATGTCAGCAGGGATGAGATGCAGGGATGAGATCCAGACTATGTTTGAGGACCATGTGGAGACAGCACCTAGAGCCTGTCTCTAGTCTGGAGCCAAGGGAGAATAGGACAGACCTCAAATCACATGCCCTCATCACCTGTGATGATCCAGAGCCCCAACACCTTTGCTGAATGCCTGAACATGGGCAGCAAAGGCAGTCACAGGACATGTGTTAACCCAGAACACACAGGACTGGTTAGTCCAGTCAAGACAAAGAAAAGGAGATAGTTCATTCTCTTTAATGTGGAATAAAAAACCCCAGGACTCCTCTGCTGTGACCCATGGTTATTTTTACCTGGGTATATGCCCTAAAACTCCACATATGTAATATCAAATCTTTAAAGCAATAAATTCTCCTGGATTCCTTCCCATGAACTACTCTATCAAGGTTACACTTTACCTGGTTAATCTTAAATCAGTGCAGTTCCTACAGGAGATTTCTTATTGCTGGGTTCAGCTCATTTGGGAAAAAAAACCCATGAATGTCCCAGAGACAACCTTGTCCTTAAGTGGTGTCCTTGATCCCAACCCTCACCTCTTTTGTCACTCCAGCCTGGAATCATCCTGAGACACTGCTCTTGCCACTCGTGGGCTGTGTTTTACCCTGCTGGGTTCCCTGGAACCCACAGCAATGTCCCATGTCACAGGAGATGGCTTTTGTAAGTATTGGCCTTTGAGACACAACTTCCTTACATTGTTTTTGAACACAAGAGCTTTCTGTGCTTCCAGCCTAGCCTAAGGATGATTTCCTGGAGAGCCCTCTCTCCAGCTGCGGAATCTTTTCATGATGTCCAAGCAAAGATCTGTGAAAGTGGTATTTTTAGGTCCTCTGGCCACTATGAAATACATTCTTTTCATATTCCTTATATAACCTCCATCTGAAAGAGCCAACAGGCTTTGGAGCCTTTCCCACTGCTTTCATATCTCAGTGGGAGCGGAAAAAAAAATAATGGCAAACTAGTTTTATGGCCTGCATATCATCTCTGACAAAAGCAACTATTGCTGCTATTAAACCTGCAAGTGCACACACAGGCACAGATAATCATGAACACCAAGAGGCAGCAGGGACGGCTCAGCAACGTGGCACTGCTGAGCCAGGCAGTTCTGTGTGCCAGGCTGGCCAGTTCCCTCCAGGCTGGATGCAAATATCACCAACCAGTTGGGGAACTGAGGCCACACACTGCACAGCCCCCTTCCACACAGAGAGGCTGGAGGAGGCATGGTAAGGTATGTTTAAAATCCTTCTCCCCATTCCTAATGGAGGTGTGACCCTGCCCATCATAAACACACCCAGCACCAGGCCAATAAACTGGCAATATACTGCCAGCTTCGTTAGGTGGGAGCAAGCAGGACAGCTTGGCACAAACAAGGCTGCAGTCATGACCTGCAGTTCAGTGTCCTGTGTGTGAGAGAAGAGGCTGCTGGGATCAACAGAGTGCTCCCAGCTCAAATCCAGGGGGAGAAGAGCTCTGAGTCTAAACCGGGTCTGGGAAGGAAAGTAGTTTGGGAACTGTATTTCCAAGGCTTACTCGGGCTTTGGACCTGGAGGGATGCCAGGCTTGCCTGATCATGACTGCCTCACCAGGTTTCAGAGGCCTGAGGCCACCCCTACCTTGGGAGACCAGTTGTGGATGGAGACATGGGTTCACAAACCCCCAGGCTCTGCAGGCCATGCTCCACTCCACTGTCCCGTCTGTCAGGAAGGACATGGAGGGGCTGGAGCAGGTCTAGAGAAGAGCAACAAGGCTGGTGAAGGGACTGGAGCACAAGTGCTGTGAGGAGAGGCTGAGGGAGCTGGGGTTGTTCAGCCTGGAGAAGAGGAGACTCAAGGGAGACCTCCTCACTCTCTGCAACTCCCTGACAGGAGGGGGGAGCCAGCTGGGGGTCAGTCTCTTCTCCCAGGCAATGATCAGTAAGACAAGAGGGCATGGCCTTCAGCTGTGCCAGGGGAGGGTTAGGTTATATATTAGGAAGAAATTCTTTACAGATAGAGTAATCAGGCATTGGAATGGGATGCCCAGGGAAGTGGTGGATTCTCCGCCCCTGGGGGTGTTTAAGATGAGACTGGATGTGGCATCAGTGCCATGGGCTGGGAACCACAGCGGGGTTGGATCAAGGGTTGGACTTGACCATCTCGGAGGTCCCTTCCAACCCAGCTGATTCTATGATTCTATGATTCTATGACTAGTGGCTCTCTGCTGATGCTGAGCTGCCCAGAAGGTTTCTTCAATTTGTGGTGTCCAGAGATTCCACCTGCACCCCAAGGACCAGAGCCCCTCCTGGCCTGAACTGCACATAGATTATCTTTATTACAGGACTGTTATGTTTGCACAGTTTAGTGATTTAATATCAGTTTAAAGCCTTCTCTGTGAGCAATGCTGTTTGAAGTCATGCTCTCTCTTTTCAGCTCAGCTTGCCAAGACTGTAAAACCTTTATTGCTAATGGTGGAAAAGCTTAAAGAAGCCAAGATAACTTTCCCAGGCTGGGTATTAAGACTGGGTTCAGATGAGTAAATAAGTGAAGAGTATTACATGGTCTTCATTAAATATCAACCAACACCAACAGCCACTCATTTATAACACAACGGCAGGGCGAGGGAGCACCCAGGAGCAGAGCTGGGAAAGGTATGAATCACATGGGATAGGAGAGATGAACATGAGAAGGGCTGGAATTGCCGTGGAGCTCCAGGTGTGGCTCCCAAGGTCACAACACAACTCCTGACTGAAGCTCCTGCAAAGACTATAGATTTGGAGTTGATGAAGTGGCAGAGTTGGTGTGGTTCATCTCCTCTCAGCTGGGGAGGGCTCTGGGCATGTGGTGTCCATGTCCTTCTCCCTTCTGCCACAGCGGGTAAGGACAAAATTCTCCCTCCTAGGAGGGAGAATTTAAATTCAAGCTGCAGCCAGCACATCTCCCAGGACTGTCAGTTCTTGGATGTTTGTTTTTTAGCTTTTACTTCCTTATAGACAGCTCCTGCCTTTACTGGTTTCTAGTCACAGGGTGCCAACACCAGGAAGAGTAAATTACAGAAAGTCTTGCTACAGTTCCTGTGATTTCCTGTGCCAGTACTTTAAAACTCCCCCTACAACTGTGTGTGTGGCTTGGTGTTTGAAACCCCTCTCTTCCATTCACCATCCACTGCTCTTCATGAGTTCAACACTCCCCACATAAGAAAAACTGAGGTAAGGACCATCCCCAAATTATATTTCACTTCCAGCCCTTCCTCATTATGAAGTATTCTAACTTCTACTTTCCTTCCTCATTTTCTCTCACCTGCCTAAGGCTCTTGCTCTCATTTTAATATCCTTTTTCATATCTGTGTGATTGCTACTGATTCTCCCTTGTTTCCTGCCCTTCTTGTTCCCCAAAGCAGAGCTTCCTTCACACGTCACTCCTTTCAAACATCCCTGCTTACTCCTAACACCCTGTTGCAGCAGCCATTAACCAGTCAGGACTGGAACTGTCACCTCCCTGCTAAATTTTCCTCCCTTGTTTGAGAGGTGCAAATTCCAAGCTGATTTTGCAACCTCTAGCATAAATTCCCATTTGCAGCTCTAGTATCTCCCAGCTGTTTGGTGTTTTGAAGCCTTTTCTCAAACCAGCAATGAACCAGATCAGGTGATCCAGGAAACTCTGTCATGTTTTCAGCTGTGAGGCCACAGATTCATCTCCCCAACACACATCTTCTTCCTCTCTCCAGACTGTTTGTAGCTGCCAGTTTCAGGCTCTTATCTCTCCCCTGGGACTCCAGGGGCTGCTTCTGTCACACTTGTGCTGCAGGAGCTGTTTGAATGGAAACAGGATCAGTGCAAGTTCTCTTGTCCTCCTGAGGTCCCTTCCAACCTCATTTTTTCCCACAATCTGCTGGGGAGGGCATGGAGCAAGATCACAAACAGGTCTAATTCACACAGATCCAAACTGGTCCCAGCTTCAGGCACCATCTTGCCAAGTTGCACCCAGGTCTGGGCTGGACTATCAGCACAGGGTGGAATCAATGCACTCCTCTTCTCTGGAACGTCTCTGTGACACACTCAGTTGGTTCCCATGCTGGCATATCTCTTGCCAGGTGTAGTGCCACTGGAACATTTTCCACTTTGGAAGGGTGAGTTCTTGGGAGAGAAATAAATCAGAGCTGAACCTCTGATGCTACAGAAGGGCCTTGATTCCCGCTGCGGGTTCCTGGGATTCCCGCTCTTTGTCCAACTATCTTTGGCTCCCTCTCCTGGCTCAAAACACAAGTTACAGCCAAGAGAAAAGAGCAGAAACCACCACGCTCCGGGGACCCTCCAGCCTGCGGGCAGTCCTGATGCTGACTAGAGGATGCTGAAGCGTTTGCAATCTAGCTTTGCATCCCTTGATCAGTGGGGTTAAACATGTTATTTCCCCTTCCCCAGCACTCCCTGTTGAAC